GGTCTTTTTCTATTAAATTTTATTCTACATTTTTCTCCCATTCTGTCCAGTACCTTCTGTGGTCCCATTCAGAGTGATTATTAATAGTAGTAGCCAGACACCATCTAATTCTTTTAGTCTCAGATTCTTGGAGGCCTGTGGTTCATGTATTCTGTTAGTTCTCTGGTCTAATTGTTTCCTTGAGTCTTTGATTTTCCTTACTCTTCTTTCTTCAGAATGAGAAGAGATCACTAGTTGCATCTTAGGTGGCCAATAACTAGCTTGTAAGATCCCAGTCACTACTTACAACATTGGAATGTAGAATTCTGTTAAACCAAATGACTTAGCTGTCCCCCTGAGACTGTGGGCCTAAGCCCCCAAGCCCATTGACTCATTCCTACAATGGGTTATGGATAAGTTTTCTTAACTTTGCCCCTGTTTGCTCTACTGTATGCATGGGTATGCTTATAACAGTGTTAAACTGGGTTCTCTAGAGAAACAAAGCCAGTAAAGCTTATATACAGAGAGAAAGAAATTCATCTTAGGAAAATGGCTCACACACTTAGAGAAGCTGGCAAGTCCAAAGTTCCTGGATCAAACGTCAAGTGGAGGCTTTTCCCAACTCACACAGCTGCAGAGGCTGAGGAGCTCAAGGTTGACAGGCAGTATACTGGCTTTTGACTCCAAAGAATGACGAATCCAAGATCTCTAGGCCGAATGGTGGATTGTTCTGTCATGGACAATTATAGGCAGCACAACAGAATCCTGATCCACAGAAGAGTGTCTCTTTTCCCAGGATGTCCATAAATATATTGGAAGCAAGCCACATCCCTAGGGAAACTCCCTTTCAATGGGTTGGCTGCTCAAAACATATACATCTGATACCATCATGGCAATAAGCACATCACAACTGCATAAACCACACAGAATTGTGGTCCAGCCAAGTTGACACACAGCTCCAGCTATCACAAAAATATACAAATACCTACATAGAAATATCTTCTACCATACTTACATATGATCATGGGTATGGTCCCATTCACCTACCCATACCTCTTAAGCACCTCTCAGTGTCTGCATTTGTCTTAGTGACATTTTGGTGATAACTCCATTACTGTATATTACCTTTCCCTTCACCCAAATTAATGTATGTCTATTATCTAGTTAGTGATTTTCCTCCCCTCCCTGGTAACAATCAAAGAATGTTTCTGCGTATAAACCTTTCCTTGACTTTTTATAATAGCAGTTTCATACAATATATGTCCTTTTGTGATTGACTTATTTCACTCAATATAATGCCCTCCAGCTTCATCCATTTTAGGAGTTGTTTTATGGGTCTTTCGTTATTCTTTAACATTGCATAGTATTTATTCCACTATATGTATGTACCATGGATTGTTTATCCGTTGATGACCACTTAACTTTTTTCCAGCTTTTTGCTGTCATGAAATTTAAATTTACTGCGATGGACATGGGTTTGCATGTATCTATTGCATTTCCCAGCTCATACTTCTCTAGGATATGTACCTAGTAGTGCCATTGCTAGATCAAATGGTATTTCAAACTCTAGCTTTTTAAGGAAGTGCCATACTGTTTTCCACAGAGGTTGTACCATTTCACAATTCTACTAGCAGTCTATGACAGTTCCAGTCTCTCTGTACACTCACCAGCATGTGTTCTTATTGAACATTGCTATGACCGCTAGGATGAGATGATGTCACATTGCTGTGTTGATTTGCATCTCTCTAATAACTAATGATCTTGAGCAAACCTTCATGAGTTTGCTGGCTGCATGAATGTCTTCTTTGGTGAAGTATCTGTTCACATGCTCTGCCAATTTTTTTTTTTTTTTTTTTGTATTTTGTTGTTGAGGTATTGAAGGGTTCTAGAAATTTTAGACATTAGCCCCTTGTCGGATATGTCATCTCTTCCCCCCGCCCCCCAGTCTGTAGGTTCTCTTTATACTCTTTTGGAGAAATCTTTTAATACGTGTAAGTGTTTCATTCTTAAGAGGTCCCAGCCATCCAATTTATCTTCTGCTGTTTGTACATTTTTCATTATTTGTCAGTGTTTTCATGCCATAAATTAGAGCCCCTCAGTTTGCCCCAGTTTTTTCTTTGATGATCTTTATAGTTTTATGTTTTACATTTTTGGTCTTTGATCCATCTTAAGTTAGTTTTTACGTATGTTGTGAGGTATGGATCTTGATTCCTATTTCTGCAAATGGATATCCAGTTTTGCGAGCACCTTTTATTGAAGAAACTGTCTCTTGCCCATTTAATGGATTTTACTCCTTTGTTAAAGATCAGCTATGCTTAAGTGGGTAGATTTCTTTCAGGATTCTCAGTTCTGTTCCATTGGT